ACTGGTAGACACATCTCCAAGTACCCTCAGAGCGTTACAACTTCTTGAATGAAATATTAGCAAGATTAAAAGGACAGACTAAATTTCAAACTAGTAAAAAAAAAACCGCTCAAGTGTCACATTCAGTTGTCACATCGCTCACTGACATGACAACAGATCCGGCTTCAGTGGCTCTTCTGCGCACCCACACCCACGGCCGCCACCCCCGCCGACCACTTCGCAACACCGGCCATCGGGTCGGGGGCGGCCTTCTCCAGGCCAGCTTCAAATAGATTAAAAAATGTAATTTCTAATTTTACAGAAATGCTTGTTCAAAAAATATTTTCTCTCACTCCCTCATCTCCTATGCCGAAGGATGTATGGTTTTTTTCCCCAAGCTAAATCTGAACCCTCAAAATTGATTCCAGACAGAAAATCTCTGCAAATTAAATCAAAAACAAAAAGAGAAAAATTATACTTTTTATATGTGTGTGTGTGTGTGTGTGTGTGTGTATACACACATACACTGATCGAAATGCTCCAGCATTTAAAAATCACATTAGAGATGAATTTTGGGATCCTACTGCTCACAACTCCAGAATCCATAATGATTTACGGACGTACTTTTTCCTATTTCCTTCCTGGCTATCTGCTCCCCTCCAAAACAGTTCAGTGTAGCCACGGCTCAAGTTTAATGGGAAGAGAGAGACGTTTGTGAACAGTTATTGATTTATTTCACTTTGGTGACCTGGGTGGCGCGTATCCCTCTTTGCCATTATGTGGCATCACTCCCCGAGGTATAGTCCTATGGCTGAACTGGCGTCTCTGTTCCCCGATTTTTCCAGCTGCTGCCCTGCGAATGGCATTGCCTCGGAAGCCGGAATAACCCTTACTAGTCCCTGCTTCTGGCTTCTCGTGGTTTCTCAACAGACTTCTCAGGAGCTCCGTTCTCCTCGTTTTTGGTGGGAGACACTGCGTTGGAGCGAAGTTCCCATAGGGGCTGCACAAGAACTGAAGATGGCTCTCTGGGGGGCTTCTGGCACACTTCAGCATGACTAGCTTTCGGGGTTCCTGTAGGGCCACGGCTGCAGCAGCATTTATGTTACCATTATGTGGTGAAGCAGTATTTGCTCTTGACGGCTTGTGCAGCAGTTGGGGAAGAAACTGGTTGAGAACATCCGTCTGAACAGTGGAATCCTCTGTTAAATTAATCCTCTGTGATCCATTTCTTGCTGAGTTGCGCTTAACGCAGGAAGCTCGGCTGCACGTGGGGGACCGGTGCTCACGCTGAGTTGCTGGGCAGACATGCAGCCTGTCTGCTCATCCTCTGCAGGCACTGGGCAACCAACCCTCAACTCTTTATTATCCTTCTCTTTGTAGACATCTTTCACAGCATCAGACATCCTATTCTCCAAAACAAGTTCACCTGGCATCCTTGATGACCTTCCAGGTAAGGAGGAAAATTTGAGGCTAGCAAGTCAACCTTAGGTGCTGGAGCCTTTGCTTCAATTGTTGAAAGATGGCGTCTTGGGATCCTGTCATCTTCTCATCATCTTCGACCTCTGAAAAGAGTTCTCCTGCCCCTGTCATAATCCCCATTCTGTTCCATCTGCAGAGCGGGAGTCTCCTTTGTCAGGTAAGTTTGCTCCCCATGCCCTGCTACTGCAGGGTTATACTGTTCAGCTGGAAAGTTCCTTGAATTCCATCTGTTCAACTGTCCCTTCCCCAACAACACAGAGCCCTCTGTTGAGTGTTCTGAACCACTGGATGACTTAAAATGAGGCTTCGCACGATTTTTTTGGAATGGTCGACCCATATTCATGGCAGCAGTATTTGTTTTATAAGACCCCGGTGAATTAAAGCTATTCGTAAAACCACCATTGGGAAAGGGAGCCAGTGGTGTTTCCAAGCAAGGTGCAGGACTTGGAGACCAAGACTGAGGCACAATACTATAGACCGAGCACTGCTGATGAGGACCACGTGCAGGCTGCATAAAGACTGGTGAGTGTGAATGGGCTGGCTACACGCTAGAATCCACTAGTCAATAACCACTCCTTAGCAAAAAAATGTATAGATGGCTTTTATCCTTGCCATGATTGGCTTGCCCTGAAATGTTTTAACTTCTTCTCTTAAGTATTTAAAAGCCTGCCATGCATCTGTGCCTGACTGGAAAGTGATATGCCAGTTGCTATGTGTGCAGACTCACAGCTTATCACTTTGGGGCAGTTTTCATTTCTGAACAAAGCTTTCACTTCCTCTATTGGTGTTGTTTCAGGAATCTCTCTAAGAATCACAATACAATGATTATGACTTGGTCTCACTTTCTCACCCTTCTCACCAACTTGTACCATGGGAGAAGATCTCAACACTTCAAGAATTAGATCAGGATCTGTGGTCAGCTTTTTTATTTCTTCCATGTTGCCAACTGTCCAAATCAGGATGAACTGATCACTATCCATTTGAGCTATCAAGTAATGATCCTCTGACAAATTTTCTCATGAGAAACAAAGTTCTAATTGTTTCTTCAGACATTCTTTTAAGTCTTCTGTAGACATTGCTGAATTGCTTTCTCCAGAAACATCGTATATTTGGTAACTCAGATCTTCTGGTCCTAAAACCATTCCATCAGTTGATTCTTCAATGCCTGTAACATTTCTTGTGGTTTCACAAGATGAAGAATACATTACTTCATACTCCTTACACATATCTTCTGACAGCTCTGTATTACGCCACCGGAAAGCAACATGTAGGGCTGGAGGGAGGAAGGTGAAATGCGCAGGTAACATCTAAAAGAACTGGATTAAATCCTAATGCCAAAATATGGCAAGAAATTCCTCCTGGAAGCATAATGCCACCCTGATAACTAATGGAACTGACAGCTGTTGGCAAGAAACAGCAGCCACATTAGAATTTCTTTTTTCTTTCAGAATGTTAAAGATATTCCAGTGTCTTCTGGCCTGTATGGTTTCTAATGAGAAGTCTGTTTTTATTCTTTCTAAATTAAATTTTTTTTAGAGACAGGGTCTTGCTCTGTCACCCAGGCTGGAATGCAAATGGCCTGATCATAGGTCACTGCAGCCTCAAACTCCTGGGATCCTCCTGCCTCAGCCTCCAGAGTAGCTAGGACTACAGGCCTATGCCACTATGCCTGGCTAATTTTTAAGTTTGTTTTTAGAGATGGGGTCTTGCTCTCTTGCCCAGGCTGGTCTCCAACATCTGTCCTCAAGCGATCCCATGCAAGCATTCTGTTTTTCACTTTCAATACAGTATTCAATAAACTACATGAGATGTTCACAACTTTATTATAAAATAGGCTTTGTGTTAGATGATTTTGCCCAAGTGTAGGCTAATATAAGTTTTCTGAGCACGTTTAAGGTAGGCTAGGCTAAGCTCTGATGATTGATAGGTTATGTATATTAAATGCATTTTCACTTATGATGGGTTTATTGGAATGTAACTCCATCAAAATTTGAGGAGCACCTATATTTGTGCTACCTGCTAAGTATACAAATGATTGACTTAGAAACACTTCTGAGACATAAACAGTGAAGAATGTCACTAAAGTCTGCAAGCTGTCAGATAAGAGATAAAAAATGCTTACCACATTGTACAAGCTGATGTACCAACGTTCAAATATAATCTGCCCAGAAAATCCATTAACAAAAGCGAACCAAAGCTGAAAGACAAGAAGCCAAGTGAAACATTCTATCAATGTTTTATTATATAATCCATACATTGAAAAGAAGTGGTACAGAAAAGGGACCCCTTCAGCTGGCTGAGCTCCTAGAGAATAATCACTGAGGGGGCCATACAATTGTTCCTTCATAAATCATGAGTTGCAAATACCACATACCACTGATATTTAAAAAATATTGACGTACTTTGGTAACTAATGACATACATCTTTATATTTCTTGAATTTCTTGCAAATGTCATTTGCAAAAAAGTCTCCCAAATCAAGTAAAAAATGTCTGTATTTGTAACAAGTAACAAACTGTATGTCTTCCACAGACACAGTTATCTCAAATATCCCATCTATAGTACAGTGTGTTAACAGTAATGGCCAGCAGATATGGGCCACACATATACCAGGCACTATGATGTTAAATACATTATCATATTTAATCCTCATAAGCAATATTATAAACCAGATATTATTATAATCTCATTTTAAGAATCATGAAAACCGAAGCTCAGGGAGATTAAATCAGCCACTCAGGTCACACAAAGAATAAGCAGCAGAGACGGGATTAGAGCCCAGATCCATATGACTCATGGCCTGTACCCTAAACTCACATGTTAGGGATGATTTACTAAAATGCGTCATTAATGATAAGCCTTTTCACATAGTTAAAATTGTAAATTAGGAAAAGATCTTCTTTGGTCACATTTCATAGTTTGGGATTATGAAGCTGGGAACCTCAATTCCCTCTTTTTAACTATAAGAGGTAGTCCTTATTTATTTTATTTCAAAATATTAAAGGGGTACAAATGTTTTAGGTTACATGGATCACTTTTGTAATGCTTGAGTCCTGGCTAAAGGCGGGCCCATCACCAAAAGAGTGATCATAATACCCATTAGGTAGGTTGTTGTCCATCCCTTCCTCCCCCTTCCCCCCGGGTTGATTTACACTGAGTTTTACTTCCATACGTACACGTGTGCTCATCAGTTAGTTCCAATTATGAGTACGTGCAGTGTTTGTTTTCCATTCTTGAGACACCACACTTAGGAGAATGAACTCCAGTTCCATCCAGATTGTTGCAAATGGTATTAATTCATCTTTTTTATGTCTGAGTAGTACTACATGGTACATATACACTACATTTTATTAATCCATTCATGAATTGATGGGCACTTGGGTTGATTCCACATCTTTGCAACTGTGAATTATGCTGCAATAAACATTTGAATGCAGGTGTCTTTTTGATGAAAAGCCTTCTTTTCCTTTGGGTAAATACCCAATAGAGGGATTACTGTATTGAACGGTAGGTATACTTTTAGTTCTCTGAGGAATCCCCTTATTGTTTTCCATAGAGGTTATACCAATTTGCAGTCCCACCAACAGTGTATAAGCATTCCTTTCTCTCTGCATCCATACCAGCATCTATTGTTTTTGGACTTTTTGATAAATGCCATTCTATTAATAACTGGAGTAAGGTGATATCTCAATGTGGTCTTTCCTCCTACTTTCATAGTTCTCCTCACAGAGATCTTTCACCTCTTTGGTTAAGTATATTCCTATGTATTTTATTTTCTTTGTAGCTATTGTGAATGGTATTGAGTCTTTTATTTTATTGACTCTCAGCTTGACCATTATTAGTATACAGAATTGCTACTTATTTACGTGTTAATACATTGATTTTGTATCCTGAGATTTTACTGAATTTATTTATCAATTCCAGGAGACTCCTGGTGGAATCTATGGGGTTTTCTAGATACAAGACCATATCATTATTGAAGAGTAACACTTTTATCTCTTCTTTCCCAATTTGGATACTCTTTATATTCTTCTCTTGTCTGATTGCTCTGGCTAGAACTTCTAGCACTATGTTGAATAGAAGTGGAGTTATGGGCAACATTGTCTTGTTCCAGTTCTTAAGGGGAATGCTTTCAACTTTTCCCCATTCAGGATGATGTTGGCTGTGGGTTTGTCATCTATGGGTTTTATAATTCTGAGATATGGTCCTTCTATGCCTAGTTTGTTGAGGGTTTTTAATCATAAAAGGGTGTTGGATTGCATAAAATGACCAAATCTACAAGTTACACGTATTCCTGAGGAGGAAGAAAAAGTAAACACCTGCACCCGAATGTTTATAGCAGCACAATTCACAATTGCAAAGATGTGGAAACAACCCAAGTGTCCATCAATACATGAGTGGATTAATAAACTGCGGTATATGTATACCTTGGAGTACTATTTGGCTTTAAGAAACAATGGTGATATAGCACCTCTTATATTCTCCTGCATAGAGCTGGAACACATTCTACTAAGTGAAGTACCCCAAGAATGGAAAAACAAGCACCACATGTACTCACCATCAAATTGGTATTAACTGATCAACACATAAGTGCACATATAAGAATAACATTTATTGGATGTCGGGGGGGGGAGGAGGGGATGGGTATATGCATACACAGAGTGTGATGAGCACCATCTGGGGGATGGACATGCTTGAAGCTCAGACTTGGGGTGGGGGGACAAGGGCAACATACGTGACCTAAACATCTGTATCCCCATAATATGCTGAAATAAAAAAAAAAGTTTGGAAAACATATCTGGGGAAATCATTGAGGAAAGTTTCCTTACTCTTGCTAGAGATTTACACATTCAGATACAAGAGGCTCACAGAATACCAGGGAGATACACTGCAAGGTAAAATTCACAAGACATATAATTATCAAACTATCTAAAGTCAACATAAAGGAAAAATATCCTAAAATTAGCAAGAGAAAAATGTCAAATTATCTATACAGAAAATTAGACTAACAGTAGATTTCTCAGCAGAAACCTTATAAACCAGGAGATATTAGAGTCTTTTTTCAATCTTCTTAAAGGAAAAAACTGTCATCCATGAATTTTGTATCCTACTAAACTAAACTTCATAAATTAAGGAGAAATAAAGTCATTCTGAGACAAGCAATTGCAAAGGAAATACTTCACCACTAGATTGGCCCTATAGTAAATGCTCAAGAGAATTCTAAACATGAAAACAAAATGTCAACACTTGCCATTATAAAAACACATAAAAGCATAAAACTCATAGGTCCTATAAAACTGAATAATATTCCATTGTGTATATATATCACATTTTGTTTATCCATTCAAACATTGATGGATGTTCGGGTTTCTTCCACTTTCTGGCTATTGTGAGTAATGTTGCTATGAACCTGGGTGTGCAAATATTTTTTTGAAATCCTGCTGTCAATGTTTTTGAATATATGACCAGAAGTGAGATTGCTGGATCATACGGTAATTCTATTTTAAATTTTTGAAGGAACTGTTACACTGTTTTCCATAGCAATTGCAACATTTTACATTCCCACCAACAGTGTGCTAGGATTCCAGTTTCTCCACATCCTCACCAACACTCGTTACACTGTAATTTTCTGTTTGTTTTTTATTTTTTTGGTAGTAGCCATCCTAATGGGTGTGAGACAGTATCTCATTGTGGTTTTGATTTGCATTTCTCTAATGATTAGTAATGTTGAACATAACTTTATATGCTTGTTGGCTATTTGTATATTATCTTTGGAGAAACATCTATTCATGTCCTTTGCCCATTTTTAAATTAGGTTTGTTGTTGAGTTGCAGGGGTTCTTTTTATGTTCTGGATATTAGTTCCTCATCAACTACATGATTGGTGAATATTTTCTCCTATCCCATAGATTGCCTTTTCACGCTACCGATTATACCCTTTGATGCACAGAAGTGTTTAAGTGTGATGTAATCCCATTTGTCTTTGCCTGTGTTTGCTTTGGTTGCCTGTGTTTTGCATCATATCCAAGAAATCACAGCCAACCCAATCATGAAGATTTCCCTTTGGGAGATTTTCCTTTGGGAGTTTTATAGTTTTAGGTTTTACATTTAGGTCTTTAATCCATTTTGAGTTAATGTTTGTATATGGTATAAGGTAGTGGTCCAAATTCATTCTTTTGCATGTGAAAATCAATTTTCCCAACACCGTTTGTTGAATAGGTTATCCTTTCCCCATTGAGAAGTCTTGGCACTCTCGTCAAAGATCATCTGACCATATACACTAGGGTTCATTTCTGAGCTCTTAATTCTATTCCATTGATCTATGTGTCTGTCTTTATGCCAGTAAGACACTGTTTTAGTTACTGAAGCTTTGTAGTGAGTTTTGAAATCAGAAGTGTGAGTTCTCCAACTTCATTCTCCCTTATCAAGATTGTTTGGATATTTGGGAGTCCCTTGAGATTACATAAAAAATTTAGAACGGATTTTTCCAATTCTTCAAAAAACACTGTTGGAGGCTGGGCATGGTGGCTCACACCTGTAATCCTAGCTCTTTGGGAGGCCAAGGCGGGAGGATTGCTTGAGCTCAGGAGTTCGAGACCAGCCTGAGCAAGAGCGAGCCCCTGTCTCTACTATAAAGAAATTAGCCAAACAACTAAAAATAGAAAAAATTAGCCAGGCACAGTGGAGTGTGCCCGTCGTCCCAACTACCTGGGAGGCTGAGACAGGAGGATTGCTTGAGCCCAGGAGTTTGAGGTTGCTGTGAGCTAGGCTGACGCCACGGCACTCTAGCCC